TGAATTCGGTAGTTCCCAGTCCTTGTGAGACACAGCCATATAATAATGACCAATATTAATAACCATTTTAAAACGAATTCTGAGGGAACCTGCTGTCAACGGACACTCTGTATTAAGCGGCCACTAGCACGGGTCCTGGGGGTGCCTGCCTAATACAGGTTTGACTGTAATTAGTAAGTAATTGGTTTGGTTTTGGTTTTACGCATTCAATTGAAAACTGTGCTAGAAGAGTTAATGGATCATGTGCACTGCATACTAAAAGCATCTGTGGTCAAGTGTCAAACGATATCCTTGATCGATACTCTTGATCAACCCTCGATCGACACCCAATTGATACTCCATCAACACCTCAGTTGACACTTGATCAACACTCCATTGACAACTTGGCCGAGAGCCAACTAATTTTTGATCAATGCTTATAAGTCTGGCGAAACTCAGCCAGCTATCGACCAACTGTTGATCAATTGCCAATCAAGTGTGGAAAGAGTATTGATCAAGTACTTATCAAGGTGCCGAATGAGGGTATCGATTGATACTCGACCGCGGATGCCTTTGGTACTCATGATCTGAGTTAATAACATGTTTTGTACAAGCTTGGTTACCTCTTCACACTCCAGGTCAGTTTCCCATCCATCAGAATCATCGCTGTCCTCACTTGCAATGGCTGGAGATACAGCCCCATGTTTCACATGATCAGTGTTTGGAGTGACAGACAGCGTCACAGAACTTAAGGCTTGTAATGTCTTGTCAACTTTCTTCACTGTTGCATTCCGTGCATGCATTGCCCTAATGAAAGCAAGTCTTGTTAAATGCTGATTATTTTGGGAAACCCTTTATGCTGATAATCATTGTCTGGGGCCATTTGTTAGCTTGGTGAAAGAAAAACTATGACAAGTTGTCATCTGGAAGGTGAAATAATTGATCCTATGCAAACATCCACATCACAATAAAAGAATGTCTAGGGCAAATTGTTAGTTTAGTAGAAATAAAGCTATCAAAAGCCTTCATCTCTAAGGTGAAATAATTGATCCTGTGCAAACAACTTTTGACTGTGTTCTACAGTAAAGTGAGGTGTGATTTTTGCATTTCAATTAAACATGCATGAAACTTCCTTACTAGAATACTACCCAAAACACCTTTAACCCTGCAATGGACTAGCATCCCAACCAGGGGGAAGTAGAACTAATCCTAGTCGCTTCATGCTACCGAAACCCGGATAAGCTCCGGCCTGATGGGCCACTTGGCTTGCATGCAGACTTTACCTTTACCCAAAACACCAACTAAAATTATCCCTCTCTATAATAATATGAACAATGTAGCTTGATAAAGGACCATGAAACCATGAGAAACAATTCACTCAGCCCCCCAAAAAGCAGTGACGAGATTTCGTTTGGAAACAAATCTTTGTTTACCCTACCGTCTACTCCTAATACGTACATTGCCTCAGAACGTTCAGTGCATAGCAAAATCAAAATAATCCGATTTTCTGATTTGAAACGCATTTAATTGTTTACTCTCACAATATTTCATTCCAGTTTCAAAAGATGTTTTGCATTTTTGTTATTGAATTGTGAAATTTTCTTCCTTCGAGAAAGTTGAATCACTTAGCATTTAGCATTAACTGGAAAACAAGCTCGTATATAAAATACCTAGTATTTGTGCCCACGAATTGAATGAGCTCGTCATTTCAAATCCTTTGAAGTCTTAACGCATGAACAATGTTCTCTCACCTGAACTGCCGTTACCATAATGATTTCACCTTAGCCCAAATATTTACCCCAAGATCTTTCCGAAAGCATTGGCATTTGAAAGAAGTAAGAATTGAGGAACCGTGTTAAGTTCGATATAAACTCGATAAAGCTGACTTAAAGTTCGTTTACGTGATCGATTGTGTCGAAGTCAGCGTGACGGATTCACCACCTTTTGTGAAACAAATTCGACCGCTTTTGTTTCAGTCAAGATATAATCCACGGCATTGATACCTTCGAAGAAGAAAAACTCACGATAATCTGCACAAAACTGCATTTAAGACAAGATAGATTAGTAACGGGTAAATTGTCTTCAACGCAGCCACGGAGCCATTTTAAAAAGCTTTAACGTTATTTGGCCGCCATGTTACAAATTAATTATTGAGAAGTTCATAAAGCTAAACTTTTGTAACATTAGTCATACGAGCAGACCTTACCAAATCCTTAGATCTCCACTGTGAAAATCTAACTTTCAAACACCATGATCTCTTAACGTGATAGAATATTCAAGATGACCACTGATCTTTTCCAAAATCAGGGAAATACTTGGCAGGTCCTGACGAGTCTTCGCGAGTCATTTCCATGACAACGTTTTATCCCTCGGGAATTTGCTAGGCACCAAGCTGATCTAAACTCTACATCTGCTGCGATCGGTTTCTTCTTCAATAAAAATCAATCAGAAATCCTTCCTTTACATCTGGTGAAAACGGAATATGCACTTTTATCTGACTGTTGGAAGCATCAAAAACATTACAAAGTCTCTTTGAAAAGGCGGGATCTCGCGGGATTGAAAGCTCGTTTCGGGACGCTGTTTTGCAGATTTGCGAACATTTGGCGGGATTTTCAATCACCACTCCATGCGCAGACGCAGCCTACATCTGGAAGGTACGGATCGAGTTTTTTTCCCATCAATTTATGGTCCAAGCGCAAGGAAAAACGAGGATCCGTAACTTGCAGTACGAGCGAAGAGACGAGGTTAGTAAGATGTTTATTACATCTCTACTATACTGTGTGTCTGCCGGGTTCGGGAAAGATTTCTATTCACACGGAACGGCTTCAAATTTCTGACGGATGTCGAAAGCAAAATGAGTCAATTTGTCGCTAGCAGGTTTTAATACACATTATTATATGACTAGCTCCGTAAGCGGGCAAGATGAATCAAATCCTGCGCTGTGATTGGCTACCCGAGCAGGCAAGATGGAGCTATCTTGCCCACTCGGGACTACCCGCCGTGTNTCTCGGTCCATTAACACGCAAAAAAAGAACTTGGCCAATATCCAGCCATCTTGACCTCACACTTGGTCAATAACCCATACATATTTTAGAAGTAAAAGAAAGTTTTAAACTTTTTCTTGCTGTAAAAGTTAGGAACACTTGGCAATAAACCACGAAACATTTTGACAACAAAAACAGTGTAAATTTTGGCGGGTCGTACATGCAGTACAGTGGAATGCGGCCTGCTAAATTGACCAATCACAGCGTGCTTACCTGAGAAATATAATAACGTGGGTTATTTATGGGTAAATCTGTTTGTGACGCAAGGCTACTCAGTGTAAGAGCATTACCTTGTTTACGTCATGTGTGTGGACAGTATGTGGCCTGATGTGACTCGTTTTCTGGGTTTATGGAGTAGAAACAGCCTGCAGTGAAGTTTATTTCTCATTGTTTGTCACAAGTCTGATAAAATTCTACCTTTCTGCTGAATTGTGGATTCCTAACAGACTGGATCAGATGCCAACACATACATTTTCAACAAGCACCGGAGTCAAGGCAATCATGTATGTTGCTGAAGGCAATTTCAATACTGTGGTTCTTTTGTCTCGACTTCACAAGAAGACTTTTTCTATGGCCTATTACATGCTGTTTTCTTAATACGTGTGCATGGAAGTAAACTTTTACATATTCGAGCAGGTTAAGTAGGCTACAGGTAAAGTATGTATTCTTATCTTTCAAACACAGAGGGATTTCCGCTCAAGGCGGCGGCGTACATGTAACTGAACAAGCAGCTGAGAAATCTGCGCTGCTAAGTGATTCCTTTTGAGACTGTTACCTTAACTTGGTGGGGAGGCTGGGTGGTAGGGAGGTTTGCAATCAAGAAATAAAAATCATATAGCATCTAATGTTTAGAGTATCACTGCAGCAGGAACATCTTTAGTTANCCCCCCCCCCCTAGAGCAGGAGAGAGCAAGAGACCCTGACCAGGGGATCACCAGCCAAAAACAAGAACATCAGGAGGGGTCCCTTACGATGATTATTCTCCCTCTCTGTCTCTCCAGAGGGTGACAAGATAAGAAACCTTAGAAAACAAGGCTGATATTAATTATCCATGAAACACCAAGGGTTCATAATGCTTTGGTAACATGGTTTGGAATAAAGAATCACTGTAACATATTAACTATAGAATGGGATGCCCCCTTGGCACATAATTTTGGTCTCCAATGGGGTGCAAGCAGTCTCTCTTGCTTGAAAATTATTCTGCTAACAGTCTAGGGTGATGCAAAGGCACTTCTTAATAATAATAATAATAATAATAATAATAATAATAATAATAATAATAATATAATAGTAATGATAATGATAATGATAGTAATTAGAATATTTAAACAAGGAGCCCAGCTCACTATAAAGTGCTCTTCAGTGGAGCCCTGCATATTAAATAAATATTAAAAATATTAAATATTAAAAGTTAAGATTTTCTTTATCATATTTGATGTTGAATAGGGTATTTTTGCCATATTTGTTCTGAAATAGAACAATTCTTTGCCACTTGGAGTCTGAAACTGATAATTTGAATGAATTCCTTACCTATTTCTGTACCTGAGTTGATCATCTTACAGTTGTGCTGTAGTTGACTTTTAGCCTTTTTTTCAGCACTATATACAGCGGATTCTCGATTTTCCAACCCTTTCATTTTTCTGACCTCCTGATAACTTGAACTAAAAGTCACCTCCCCCCCTCCACCACCTCCCAACCCCATACAGTTGGACACTCATTCTACCCACAATTTCTCAAACCACCTGATTGTTCAAACCAATTTTGTTTCCCTTGGAGGTTTGAAAAATTGGGATTTGACACTACCTATGCAACTGCGACTTGTTTGGCTAGTTGAGCAGTGTCATGCAACATTTCTTTTCAGGTTACCAGCACTTACGCATTATTTAAAGCCCTATTTAATGCTGAAAAATCATGATAAATATTAGTCTACCTACACTTCACTTCCAGTAATTTTTGGAGCCTACATTCCTGGCTAATTTAAGCTAGTGAGGGCAATGGAAACCACTCCAAAAATGATGAAATTGAGCCTGTGATCCACCCTTATAATTTTTTTGAACTTAGTTTTATTACGATCATTTTTTCACACAAAATGCATACACAATAAAATTACATAAAAAGTGGAGTGAACTTTTTTATACAATACTGTATAAATTTGTTTTTCGACAAGTGAAAGAAGTACATTTAAATTTGATTGAAGGGAAGAATTTTTTCTGTTTATTTTTATGAACGTTTTTGGGGCAATTTTGCTTGGCTATTAAGATCACTATTTGATAAGCACTCTAGTTAATCATGGCTTTCACTCTTGAAAGTGAAGGTTTTATCAGTTTTAGATCTGATCATTGATAGATTAACTGTTTCAGTGACAGATCCAGACTTTAAGCTAAGAGGGGGG